CCCCCGCCTGGAGTTGTTTCTCCCCCCCTTCTTCCCCTCTCTGCCCCCCCCCCCACCTGCTACCCAGCTCTGATCCCCCCGCCCCCAGCGCTCATGTGCCCAGCCTGTTTCCTTCCCGTCTCTGCACCTCCCGGGCCAGCTCTTCCCCCAGCCGTCCTATTCTCCCCACCTTGGCTCCTCCCTCCCAGCCACCCCTGCCTGCCTCCTCCCCCACCTCTCCGCTCTTTTTGGTCGTTTCCCTTCTCAGCTCCGTTCCTCACCTCTGGTTCCCCGCAGCCCCATGCCCAGTCCCAACCCCATTCACATGGCTACAACCTTGCAAGGATTGCTGCTGCCCCAGAGCTGTCTCCTCCCCTTGGCTCTGCCTTCTGGGGACTGCTCTCCTGACCTGCCTTCTGGTTTCCCAGGGCCCTCATCAAAATACAACAGTGGGCTGGGACTTGGGAGCATGCGCCTAGGAGCCTGCAGCCTGCCCGGGCGATGTAGAAGGGCCCAGGGCCCCCAGCTACCACTACTGTCACCCGGGGATCCGAGGCCTCTTTAAACTGCCCAGGGTCCTGAGAAATTGCCCCTTTTAACCCCTCCCTCCCATTGGCAGACCTGTGCGTGAGCAGTTTACTGCGTACACAAGATACTCACTGTTCCTGACACACAAAGGTGACTGGAACAGAACTCACGGGAAAGTAATCTGGCCGTGTGTAACACGTCAGCCTTGGAAGGGGCAGTCAGAGCATCACAGGAGAAATGCATCATGCCCCGCCTATACCCCAGGAGAAGGGAACTGGGCGTGTTTCTTTCTCTATGTCTGTCGTTTCTCACTCTCATCGTCACTGTAATTACATGGCAGGTATTTGGAACAATTAAGAGGTTGAATCAATCAACACTAATGACTTGGATCCCAACTCTGCGCCGTTCTCACCCCACAAATAAATAGAAGCTTAATCTAATTATGAACCAATTATGGACCATTCCCTTTCCACAATCTCAGCTGCTTAATTCACTTTCTCCTCCTCCATCCCCCAGGTACCTTTGAACTCCCTCAGCGTCTCCGACAGCGCAATCACTTTTTGGGAGAAACCACGGACTTGTTCTTCCAGTTGAGGAGCCATCTCCTCTGGCTGCTGGGCCTGCCCCTCCTCACACCTGGAGAGAAACAACGTCCCATAGTGACCCTACACGGAGTGACTCCGTTCTTACCCTCTGGCCAGCGAGTCGCTGCTCTGATGGGCCTGGAGTTAGAATCCCTCCAGTTCTCCCAGCCTGAGAGCAGATGCAGCACAACTCATGACCAGGCAATGTTCCCCTCAATGGACCCATTAATAGTCTTAAAATATGGCCTGGAGAGCCCAGCTCTGGGGACAAAGAGGAATTGAGTCTCCACAGCCAATTCACTCCTGGGCCTCCAGATGCTGAGGGGCGGGAAGTTCCCAGGGGAAGGGCCGTAGAATCTGCCCACTGGGAGCTAGACTGAGACACCAGCTCCCCCTCCCCAGCTCAGGTCTCCAAACAGCCCTCGGGCAGGAAAAACTCTTGATCCCTGCTGCCCTGGGCTGAATGGTGTCTAGTGACGAGCAGGGACAGGACCACGTTCCATCCCCACAGTCCTGAGGCAGCCAGTCCTCAGGGAGGTGACAGCTCTAGGAACTACTTGTGGTCAGACTTCGCCAGTGAGTGGAGAATTCCAGAGTGTGATGGTGTGATGAATCGGAGGGGAAATATCTCTTTCTAGACTTCCCAAACATTTCCTTCAAGTGTGAAACCAGAACATCTCCAGGAAGTGTAGGCAAGGAGCTAGGAGAGCCAATGGGAAGAGAGTGTGAGATATGAATTGAAGCAGTGATCTGCCTTCAGCAGTCTTTGTGTGGACAGAAGAGGGCTGGAGGAGATGGATTGAGTTAGGAACCAGGCATGGAATTTCCAGTGATATTCATATCTAGAAAGGAATAAACCTTGAACAACAGATACGTGAGTAGAACAGAGAATGTTTAGTTAGATGCAATCAGGTTATTTTCTTTAGTTTTGAACTCTGTGCTGAGTCATACACTGTAACTTTTAAACTGAATCCCAGGGTAGCAATTATCTGTGTTTTTTATCTGCCTTTTTTTCCAGTGGCTCTGTTGCACTTACCAACCAAGTATACGTTACCAAGTATGCTTTCTTTCTTTTGTTAATAAAATCACCATTGTAAGACTAGGATATGATTCCTGTGTCCTAGAAAGCCGGGAGGTTCTGTGTGTACATGCCTGAGACTGAAAGGTTGGCTATTAAGAAATTGCAGTTTGTTTTCATGCTCTTTCCTGTGGGAGGGTAAAAGAGGTTGAGGGTACCCACAGGAAGGAATTCTCAAGTGTGACTTCCTGGGTTCTCAAAGTGGGTTTTGCGTTTGGCTGGTGGCAGCTTTCCAACAAGGTCAGAGAAACTGTGACCTTGGGGAGTTTTTAAGCAGAAGCCTTCAGTGGCAGGGTGATCCAACATCTCTTGTGGGCCCCACCTTCTGCACTCGAAGTGCCAGAGCAGGGAACAGCTTTGACAAATGAGAAGTCAGAGAGCCACGTACCTGCTCAAGGTGCT